GCAGGGCGCGTCTGTCCCGTCCTTTGCTGACAGACAGTCTCAAATCCAGCGCCTCCCCGACACAAAGAGCTCTGGGCGCCGGCAGGTCTTTGGCAGCTTTTTACATTTCAGCACTTTGATATGTTTCCAATAAATTGTGTGTTTAGAAAGTCAGCATAAAAAAAAACAAACTATTCCCGTGGGGGAGCAGGTGATGCTCAGCGCCACACGGCGCTGGGCTTGGCCTGGCCCCTCCACGGCCCTTGGACTGTCTCCCCCGCTCGGGGGTGCTGGGGGCACTCGAGTCCAAACAGCTGGCGGGTGGGGGGTGGGCCGCACTGACCCCTCAGTTCATGAACTGCGTGTAGCCCTCGGCCCCGGTGACAATGACGTCCATCCAGATGCGCATGGCCTCAGCCGAGGGCGCCACCATGAAGTAGAGGCGGTCGTGGGTCTTGACGCAGAAGGTGAGAGCAGGGTTGGGGCTCTGGGGAGGAGAGGGCAGGAGCAGGGTCAGGGTCAGCGCTGAGGAACCGTGCACCCCCGGAGCATCCCTGGCCCGAGCTGCCCCGCTGCCGCCTCCCTGTGTGGTGGAGGGCGATGTCAGGGGACGCCGCCACCAGGGGGTCCCGGCCAACAGCGGGGCAGCGGTAGTGCCTGGCTCTCACCTTTGCGGCGCTGCGGAGGTGGTCGTAGTAAACCTCTTCGATGGCTTGGAAGTAGATGACTCCCTTCAGCTTCGTTTCGTGTTTATCTGCCCAAGAGAGGGAACCGCTGTCGACTGCAGCACCACAGGCGATGGCACGGGGGGGGGCACAGGGCAGCACAGGGACTCACCCACGTAGTAGGAGAGGGTGCGCTTCATGCGGTCAAAGACAAACCAGCGCTTCTTCCAAGACTTGATCTTGCCACCCATCTTGACCAGGTAGCCCTTGCACATCTTCTCTGTTAGGATGACGTGGTAACACGTGTCCACACTGTGGCCCGAGGACTCAATGTGTAGCCGCAGGTCGAAATCCTCTTTGCGGATGGGGAGGTACCGTGTCAGGGGACGAGCCTGGAAACACAATGCAGCTTTGCAAAGCCTGCCAGCGGCGGCCAGAGCCTCATCCCCCGACCCCGGACCCGAGTGGGGAGCCGGGTCTGCCTCGCCAGCCAGGGAGAGCCCATGCCGGGGGGGCAGCCAGCCCCGCACCTGCGAGAAGTGCTTCTCCCGCAGCTTGACCTCCTTCTCCACCAGCTTCTGCCGCCGAGCAGTCTCATCCTGCAGCCGACGTTCCAGCTGCTCCCGGCGCCGGCGCTCGTCCTCCAGCGCCTGCCGCCGCAGCTCCATCTCTCGCTCCTGCCGGCAGGCACAGGCGCTCAGCCCCGGGCATGGGGCACCTGCTCCCCAGCTGCCTGCCGTGCTGCTGCCCCCGCTCACCCGTGACTCCATCAGCCGCGACTTCTCCGCATGCGCCTCCTTCAGCATCTTCTCCATCTCCTCGATCTTCCCCACCTCCATCCCGCTGGCACTGCAAGACGACCGGAGCTGCCACCCCCGTGGGAAGGGCCTCGAGCCAGTGGCGCGGCTGGCGGAGCCTCCAGCCACAGGGGCCGGCCCTGGGGTTACCTTGAGACATTGTCGGGTGAGCAGGCGGAGTTGTTGCTGGTGGAGATGCTGGTCTCCATGCTGTCTGAGCTCTCCAGGCTGAGGGTGTCGTAGGCGTGGTCCAGCTCCTCTGTCCGGGGCCCGACACCGTGGGGACGGTGGTGGTGGAGGATGGAGTGATGCACGAGTGGGGGGAAGGCAGCGGGGAAGGGGGTCTGCCCGTGCAGGGCTTCCCACTGCGACTGAGCCTCGGCAGCTGCTTTCTGCTTCAGCTCCGCCAGCCGCCGCTTCTGCTCCTCGATCACCTGCTGACCTGCGGGGCGGGAAGAGAACGGCAAGGGCTGAGCGTGCCGGGCCCAGAGCTGCGCTGTGGCGGGCGAGGGGACGGCATGGGTGGGAGAAGATGCCGCAGGCACTGCCAGAGCCGGGAGGGGACGGTGGGTGCAGAGGCAGGAGCCGCCATCACAGCTCCCTGGACAATAGGGCAGGCAGCATCTGTCCAGGCAAGAGGAGGGGCCGAGGCAGCTGAGGGGGGGACATGCGCCAGGCTGGTAGGAGCGGGCTGGGCAAAGCGCTGGCAGGCGGGGAATGCACAGGGGTGTCCCTAAGCAGATGCCAAGAGGCACGCAGGGTCCTGGGCTGGCCATGCCCCTCCTGTGCATGGTGGAAGGTGCCAGCAAACAGCCATGCTGCTGCCTCCGGGCTGCTGGAGACAGTCCAAGCTGCCCCACGTCTCTACCTGGTAGATTGCCTGGCTGCGAGGGCTCTGCTGGAGACACACCGTCGGGCAGAGGGGTTGGCGAGGGAGAGAGAGGGGGGAAAAGCGAGACCGTGAGAGAGGCCCTGTGTCCCGCCGCTGATGCCCTCGGCCGGGCTCCCTCCTCCGCCACCGGAGCGATCACCAGGGAAGTGCCTCCCCAAGTCCTGCCACCCCCCAGAGCTGGGACGCAACACCGGAGCTCACCCTTCTGCTGCAGGGCCAGCTGACGCTTGGTCTCGATGTCCTGCAGCGTGGCTGCCAGGTTGCGGGGCAGGCTGCCTGCCGGGCTTGGGGGGCCCTGGGTGGGACAGCAGGCAGTCAGCGGTGGGGACGGGGGCTGGCACCGGCACGCGGGAGCCACAGCCAGGGTGCCCAGGGCCACGCGACGCCCCGCTCCCCCCAGCAGCTGTACCTTGGGTGAGGGGCTGCGTCCCAGCACGGAGAGGTTGAGCTGCGAGGACGAGGGGGTCCCGCTCTTCATCCGAGGGGTGAGAGCACCAGTGTCACCCTCTGTTTTGGCACGATAGACCTGGGCATGACGACAAAGAGGTGAGAGGAGCACAGGGGGACCTGCAAAAGCGCCCCCCCGGGTGGATGGCTCAGCCACTGGCAGGGCTGGGCACCCGCTCCCCAGACCCTGTGTTGGTGCTGCCTGGGCAGGGGTACAGGCAAGAGGAGGTAGTGGCTGCCTGCCCCGGGCGTGCTGCCTGCCGTGAGTCTGCTCGGCCCCTGCCTGCTGCGGCACAGGGGAGGCGGGCAGAGCCCGGGGTGCAGAGCCAGTGGGGATGTCCCTGCACTGCCCCACTCCCGCCGCGGCTGGCAGCCCCACAGAATCATCTGGGTTGGAAAAGACCTTGAAGATCATCTAGTCCAACCCAAAGCCCCAGAGGCAGAGAGCCAGGATTACCTGGAGAGGCTTGTGAGAGGAATGAGCTTTAGCTGGAAGTGGAGGAGGGGAAGAAGGAGGGGAGACAGAGGAGGAGGAGGTCTCAAAGCCAGCCATGGCCTCCTGGTACCACTTCTCTAAATCAAGAGCTGGGAGCCACACCGGGCCCCCCAGCAGCTGCTGCTCCATCTGGGGAGAGAGGCCTTGTGAGAAAGGAGTGAGGGCAAAATGCAGCAAGAGGGACAAACAGGCAGAGAGAGAGGTGGGAGCATCCCTGCCTGCACCTGCACTGTCCTGCCATGGCCTGGAACGTGCAGACCCCCCCCACCAGGGACCCCAGACTAAGTGTCAGCAGCTCCAGGACCCCCCTGGTGATCACGGGGCTGGTGAGAGCTGCCAAGTGCTAGGAAGGTGCAGAGATGCCCTGGGGATGGGCAGGGCTCCAGGCCGGTCAGCCAGGGGCATGTGGGCTAGTGAGAGCCTCGTGTGCAAGCTGCTGCTTGGCCTTATCCACAGCTCACCCCTCCCATGCACCCCCGTCACCTCCCACGGAGAGCACAGGGCTGGAGAGAGGGAAACGGGACACAAACCTCTGCAAAGACGGAGGAAGAAGAGAGAGATGGAAGAGGAGGAGGAGGAGCGCAGCCTGAGGATGAAGGAGCCAGAGGGGTGCCGCCCAGCGGGGAAGCAGCAGGGGCACAGAGGCCGCCCAGGATGCCCGAGAGCTGCTCAATGGTCACATACTGGGCAGAGAGAAGCAGATTAAACCGGGAGAAGAGGCTCGAAGCAAGGCTGAGCGGGCACGGGGGAATGAACAGGCGGCTCCAGCCCCAGAAGGAGCCACATCCCCAGGAGGAAGAGCTGCTGGTACCGGGCACCCGGTCAGGTCCCCACCTGCTCTGCACCCTCCTCGCCTGGGACCGGTGGCCAGGAACGAGTCCAACAGGCAAAGGGCTGCCCTCCTGCCCCTCTGGGCACCCGCTCTGCTCCCCAGCCCTGCTGCCGCTGCCCGAGGGCAAAGCCCGTCCAGAGCAGGCCAGAAGTGCTCCCCAGCGAGGAGACTGGGTGGCTCCAGCCTCCGCTCCCTGCTCAGCTGCAGCTGGACGAGTCCCCCAGCCCAGAGAGAGGCGGGCTCCAAGCACCGGGCACACGGGGCGGCCGCGTGGCCTGCGGCATTCTCACTGCCCGGGATACGGTGGGTGACCCAGGGCAGCAAACCCGAGCATGCTCTGGAGCGGGTACCTCGTCAGCTGCGGGAGGTACAGCAAGCAAGAAAGAGCGCTGAGCGGCAGCAGGGGCAGCGGCAGAAGCTTTAGTGTCCGGGCTGGGGCCGTGCACATTGCTGCAGAACCTGAAAACGTCAGACAGCCTCATGTACTCCTAGAAATCCACGGCGGAGGAGAAGGAGGAGAGTTAGACCCATGCGCTGGCATCGCGGCGCTGACTGCAAAGCGGGAGCAGATCTCCCCGCGCACGCGTCCTCTGCCCGCACCTGCCCAGCCCTTCCCTGCCTGTGGCTGCCTGGCTGCCCAGCACCGCACACGAGCTGGGCCAGCGTCCCGCACACTGCCTCAGCCCTGCCTTAGGCGCAGCTTGGCTGGGTGGCCTGCCAGGCCCCAAGCACCTTCAGCTGCTCCCAGATCTCAGGGTTCTCGGCCACAAGCCCTCGCAGGTGCAACATGAGGCACCTCGAGCTGCTCTGAACCAGCTTAAATTCCACTTCCTCGCCCTTTCTGAATCAAACATGCTGAAGGCAGGGATTTGCTCTTTTTTTGGGGAAGCCAGGCTAGCAGGACCCCAGAGGACGCTGTCAGGAGGTGCCCAGCCAGCAGGCAAGTGGCAGGCAAGGGGGCAGTGCAGGGATGCCCCTACCACACGGCACCATGCCAGGGTTAGGCAGCAGGAGCCGGGATGCCTGACGGGCCCAGAATCAGGTCTGCGTGTTAATGAGCGCAGCTGCTGGAGAGCTGAAGGAGAAATTCCCCAGCTGTGCCACCTCAGCATGCTGCTGGGGGTACATCCTGCTGCCTGAAGGTGATGTTAGTCCACATAAGGGGTCTGGCAGCAGCTCGGCCAAGGAGGGGGCAAGCGAGCAAGCACGTGCAGTTAGTCCCGTTACCTCTTGTGCCTTGGGGTAGGAGCAGGTGGCAGGAGAAGCTAAGGAGGCAGCTGCTGCTGGCAGGGGGCTCAGGGGCTTAGTTCCCTCCAACAGCTGATAAGGCTCTGAGATATGGAGGGTCTCCTGTTGGAGGGTAGAGATCATATAGGCAAGGGGGGCCAAGGCAGCAGCAGCAAGAGCCCCATCACAGGCAGGCACAAGGGGACTCGGCCATCCTGGCCCTCTCCCCAGCAGCATGTCAGGCAGCACCATGGTCCCCAATGGCACCATGGCTCTGGCTCCCTGTTCAGAGCCACGAGCAGGGCAACGGGGAGGCCCACTCCCACCTAAAAGCCCTTGCATATCAGTTGGGAGGAGTCCCCTATACCGGCACCAAGACAGCCCCACGCTGGCTCTCTGTCGAGGGCGAGACCTCAGGCAGTGCCCGCTGCACCCAGCCCTTCCCTCGTGGGACTCGCTGAGCTGCCTGCTCAAGCCTGGGCTGCGCCGGGGCTCCTGCAGCATCCCTGCAGCCCAGCAGGGGAGATGCTGCTGCTCCCAAGCCCAGCTCTTTCGCGTTTCCCTCCCTCCCAACCCAGTGATGGTCTCTGCAGCCCAAAGAGAGGCTCTGAGCAGCCGGGAGCCCCTGGCTCCAGCCCGAAGGTGCTCAGGAGCACAGGGGGCTGCTGCAGAGCACAGCTTGTGGTGCACCAGGCCCATCCCTGCTGGTGACAGGAGACTGTATCCCCTCTGCCCACTTACCTCTCTGAGAGCTGAAGACATTTTGGGGAAGCTCCTGCCACCTGTGACGAGCTGGTAGCGCCTCTCCAGAGACACGAGCTTCTCCTTCTCCTGAGTGCGGGGTGACAGTGAGAGCAGAAGCAGCTGATGGTTACTGGAACCCCCTGGCCAGTTCCCCCACGCTCACCCCGACTGCCAGCATCCTGGCAAGAGCCGGTGCCATCTCGTGCCCTGCCTCAGGCACTGCCAGGTCGGGGAGCACACATCGACCCCCCAATGGCTGCAGTACCTTCTGCAGGAGCTGCAGGACGCCATTCCTCTCCCTGGCCAGGCGCTCAGCCTCCTGGGCGCTCTGCAGCCGGATCTGGGCAGCCTGGGCATCCAGCGCGGCCACGCGCTCCTGGGGAACAGACCGGGGGGATGAGCCGCTCTGCCAGCAACCCACAGGGCTCAGCTGGGGCCACGGGGTGCAGCCCGACCTCGCCAGACCCGCTGCCCCAACCCGCCCCTACCTTCCTGCGGGCGATGCTGCGGTGGCACTCGGCCCGGCTCTGCAGGAGCTGCTGGCCCCGCACCTCGCGCTCCTCCTCGAGGTGGCTCTCCCGCTCCAGCTGCTGGAACTCCAGGTCCTCAAACAGCTTGGCCTCCGTCTCCAGCGCCTCCGCCTCCTTCGAACACACAAGGGCACAGTGGATCACTCGCTTGGGATCGGCACCTCCACATCTTGCCGGCAGATCTCTCACAGAGAAAACCCCCACCGTGCCCCCACGTCCTGCGGGTGCCAGCTGGGAAGGGGAACCCGTGGCAAAACCTGTCCCCAGTGCCGTGTGCGGAAGGGCAGGCAGCTTCCCCTCCTGCTCAGCACCAGCAACATGGGAGCCACCATCAACCTCAGCCTGGCAGGAGGCGGCGATGGAGGCACCGGGCACTGGCCAAGTCCGAGCCATCACCCTCATGAGACAAGGAGCTCACCACGGCCCGTGGCTTCACCTCACCCCGGAGAGCAGCTGCTGCTGCTGAACCACGTCCGGGCCGGCACCGTGCCCTGCCAGGTGGCAAAACACCAACGCATGGCCCCGCCTCGCCAAGCTGACGGGCAGCAGAGCCCCGTGGACGAGCACCGTGCCGGACGAATGCCTGAGCATCACCCCAGCCTCCAAGCACCGACGGCTTGGCTCAGGGTCTGCCGGAGCCACCCCTGCAGCCACTGCACAATGCTCCCTGCGGGGATGTGCTTCCCCCCGCGCCGGAGCAGGGCAGCCACTGCTCTTGCAGCATGGTGTGGCACCACCAGCGTGGTGGTTGCCGAGAGCTCCCGCATGCTGGGACCCCCGTCACCGTCCCTGCCCGCCGCATGCCAGTACCCACGCCCGACACAGGGGTGGCCAGCCCCGAGTGATGGGTTTCTCTGCGCAGAGAGGGGCATGCAGGCATCTGCCACGGGCTGGGGAAGGTCAGCTGCCACCAGAAAATACAAGATAACCAGAAAAAATGCTGCAGACCGGCCATAACATAAACCAACAGCACCGTGTAAATAAACGCCCTCAGGAAGTAGCTGGAAGCAGAGACGAGGACTGGCGGTCCCCGCAGCTCCCCTGCCAGACTGCCCTCCTTCGCGGGGCAGGATCCGTGCTCGGGCCCTGCCCAGCCCAGAGGAGCCCAGCAGCTCCACGGCAGCGGCGGCCCCGCACTCTGCCGAGCCAGCACCGCGCCCCGGGCCCGGGCGAGTGGCAAGCTTACCAGGACGGCGGTGCCCGTCGCCAGCCGCCTCCAGCCCGGGTGCGACGCTCCCAGTGCAGCCCCGGCTGGTGGGGAAGAGCTGGCCTAAGCTGAAGTGGAGGGAGGTGGGCCATGGTCCAGGAGGGGTGGGGGGAGACACTGACCCTTCGCATCTGCTCCCGCAACTGCTCCCGCAGTGACTCGGGGCACTTATCAAGGTGGCTCTTCGACTCATGGTAAAGCACCCGGAGTTGCTCTAGCTCCTTCCTTTCAGCATCAACCTTTGCCCTTTCCTGAATTGGGGGAGAACAAGACAAAACAAAAAAAAAAAAGGAGGAAAAATAAAAGGAGAGAGAAAAGAGAGAGAGAAAAGAGAGAGAGAAAAGAGAGAGAGAAAAGAGAGAGAGAAAAGAGAGA